TACTACGGTAATATTAAACAGATAGGAAAGGGTAAACGAAGTAACAACCTTAACAACGGATACACGCAGTCACAAACAAGGGAGTCGGCCAAATTGTCTAACTCTAGATAAGGGAACGACACACGTTCAACAAGGTCATGTAGGGCAAAGCCAGTCTTGGAAGAGCGTGTGTGTCCAATGGCGGAGGGGGCAACCGCTGCTTTTATGTGACTTCGGGAGCCCGTTCATGTAGCATCCGTTTGGTCTGAAACATTGTGCGGAATAGGAGATTTAGAGACAATACAATGTGTCAGCAAGGGAGGGGAGTGTTCGAGTGGTTCTCAGAGCAGCCGCAGCTTACTGGGTCAAGAGGGGCACGGGGGCGGACAGCTGGCCCTCCGCCACAAAGTCACGTCATAGGTCTCCGTCTCGGCGAATCGAAACAACTGTCTCTTTAAGCAGTGGGGGCCGATAGCATTTTAGGAAGAAGTGATTAAAAACAAGGGAGCCAAACGGGAGAAGTGACAATATTCAAGTGGCACTTTGCTGCGGCTTTGTTTGGTACGCGTGTGCATTCGAGTGGAAGAGGGTCAACAGCGGAGAATGGCTGCATTCTTGAAGGACTGGGACAGCTTTCGGAAGAGGAAAACAATCGTATGTAGGTCAGACAGGATTTTACTGGAGATAGACATGGAGAATTTCAAACTTGCTAGCCGGAAATAAATAATACCCTCCCCGTGAGTGAGGTGTGTGGACAGCGAGATCTTATTGGTGCCCGTTACATATGAACTTGACGAGAATTCAATCTATTTTGGTAAATTTATCATCATGGTGACAGTATGAATAAAGTAAAATAAGACTGAATTGCCCGACCAACAACGGTCAGGCGACGGCCGGCATGCATGTTGGTAACACCAGTCTTGAGCGTTCCATTTGCTCTGAAATTTTCGGTCGGCGAAAATAGCGTACCAAATGCTCCAGCCTGGTTCGAGAGCCTAACAATAAGATAATCGTTCAGGCCCAGATTACTTTCTAACACGGAGACAGCTGAAAAACTCATGCTGAGGATTATCACAAGTAATAATTTCATATTAAGTTCGCAATGTTACAAAATTGAATCTCGTTTCAAGTGTCAAAACGGCAGAACGGATTGCATATTCGTATAATTGGCTGACGGGATAAAGTCCCACGAATTTTTTCCAACTTATAGACACAATCACCTGTCTATCTGTCCTTGGAATTTCGACGTTTCGATAATAAAATGAAATATGGGTATTCATTTGAGTTGTCTGCTTTGCTGATGATGTGATTGTTATCATTGTTTGTGGCCGCGCCGCTGCTCTGTCTCTACCGAGACCGGCAGAACCCTTCATGAGGTCAACGGTCATGGCCGGTGTCACACTAGAGTGTCAAACACGAAGACAGTAAGACCGTAGTACCCGATGCGGTCCATCGTGGGATAGTAGACTTATGCGGCAACTGTTGATCTCATTTTCTCGTGTCATACACTACTGGGGCCGTTGCCTTGTTAAAGTCAAGAAAACCGAAGGTGGAATCTGATGCAAATGGCTGACGCGGCGTGAGCCTGTGCCTAACCATGTCTGACATTGGTTTTGGGCACGTATTCCTAAGGACGCCTGCAATACGGCGTGGTCCGCTTAACGGACACCGTTTCTTGCCTCTTCTGACTCTGTATCCAGCAGTAACGCGTACGTCAAACCCAAATGATGCAACTATTAATGTACTACGGTAATATTAAACAGATAGGAAAGGGTAAACGAAGTAACGACCTTAACAATGGATACACACAGTCACAAAAAAGGGAGTCGGCCAAATCGCCTTAATCTAGATATGGCAACAACGCACGTTCAACAAAACCACGCAGGGCGAAGCCAGTCTTGGGAGAGCGTGTGTGTTAAGCGGGGGAGGGAGCAACCGCTGCTTCGGGAGCCAGTTCATGTGGCATTCGTGTGATCAGAAACATTGTGCCTTCTTAAAATTAGAAAACCGAAAACGCGACCTGGCACAGAGCTCGGCGTGAGCCCTGGCGCAGAGCCCGGCGTGAGCCCGGGCGTGTCATCATACCCGCATGTTTGACATAAGTTATAGGTGTGTATTCATAATAACGCCTGGCGTACTCCGATCTGGTCTCCTTGTAGGTTAGGCGCATCTACAGCGTGGTCCGCTTAAGGGACACTGCTTCTTGCCAACTATGACTCTGTATCCAACAATGATAACAATTTTCAAGGTAGTATGGCAATATTAAACAAATTATGAAAGAAAAACGAAGTACAAACGTTAACAATGGGCACAGGCGGTGAAGAACGAGAAAGTGGGCCAAATCGCCTCACCCTAGACAAGGGAACGAAACGCGTCCAACAACGCCATATAGGGCGAAGGCAGTCTTGGGAGAGCGTGTGTGTCAGTAGGAGAGGGAGCGATCGCTGCTCAGGAGCCAGTTCATGTCGCATCCGATTGGTCTGAAGCATTGTGCGAAAGCGAGGGGTTTTGTGTGCCGAAGCAATATAATTTATCAGAGAGGGGGGAG